GGCTTGAGGGGTTTAGGGTTTCAGGGTTTTGAGGGTGTGCGGCGTTTAGGGGTTTAGGGGTATGGGGCTTGAGGGGTTAGGAGGGTTTTAAGGTTTAGCGTCTGGGGCTTCAGGATTGTGGGTTTATGGCCTAGTTTAGGGCTTCAACACACGGCGGTAGGGTTCGCAGTATAGATGTTGTGATGCATAGCCGCCAACTTTTTGGATGTTGCCTTCAATAACGAACGTTGAAATTTCAGAGCCTAGCTCAGGGTGGGTTTAGGGTTTAGGGTTTAGGGTTTAGGGTTTAGGGTTTAGGGTTTAGGCTTGAGCTTGTGGGTTTAAGCCCTAACGTAAAGAGTTGGAGATTCAGACGCCATTGTGCGGTGTCTAGGTTGGCCAGGGCGTGCGGCTTTGGTGCACAGGGTGTAGGAGTTCAGAGCTGGTTGAGATTGTTGTGTATTTCGCTCCACATAAACCGAGCTCAGAGAAACTAACAGCAACTCAGAGCAAGACCCGATAAGACCCGAACTTTACTTCGCTCGATCATGTTGGCAGGATTCCGAAGCCCACGGTACATCCCCCAACACCGTCTTGACGGCTCAACAAAGACGAAGCCCTGCCCTGCTTGACTTATGGCTTTGGGGGGGGAAGGGGGGTTAATAATTACAGGGGTTTGGGCTAATTACAGTATACGATGATTTCAGCCTTATGGTAATGGCCTGGGCTTTAGGCTTTACAGGGTTGTAGTTCCAGAGGTCGGGGCTGCGCACAGGTACCACGTGAAGCAGGGCAATGGCATGCAGCAGCACACCAAATTCAAACCAATGTCCTTGCCATGGCATTCGCAGCCGATGCAGTTTATTGAAACTGGAAGTCAACCCTGAACCCTAAATTCCGTCAACCTGTGTACACACTCCCGACCCTTTCATGAAGGGTTGAAGTGTAGACCACGGGACATTTGTAGACATCGTACGGCGCTTCGGGCGTCGTGTAGTAGCCTGCCGCACGCTTCAGGCACCGACACTGTGAGCCTGTCTGGAACCCTAGATCCTGAAGCCCACAATCGTGAGCCCATAGGCCCTACTGCAACCCCCCCGAACCTTCGACCGCTCCACCGTGAACCGCTCAACCTCGGACCCTAAACCTGTGCCCCCTAAACTAAAGTCCTCGAAGCCTGGGGGGTCTTCGTCCCATGCTGTCCCTCCGCTGGGCCAAACCTCAGCAAAAAATCCCAAAGAGCTTTCCTTGCACTCGTGAAGCTTGTGAAATCTCCCTGTGATCAACCGCAAAGCCCAGAACCCTTCACCCTTTCAGCTCCCTCACGAGTCTCTCCCACCTGGAAGGAGTTCTGGCTGCTTGCCTTCATCACCTTGGACGTAAGGCTTTGGACTATCAGTTGTAATGTACCTGCCTTGATCGTTAGAACATGTTGGAACAGGGTGTTCAGGTATATTATCCTACAGCAATCAGGCACTCTAAGGGAATCATCTTCCGAATTATTCCGACCCCTATACCCATGGGCCCTACAGTAGTTCCTTTTTGGGGTTCGTATATAGAATCCTATAAGGTAGCCCCAAAAAGGAACTACTATGAGGCCTATGGGTAGTAGCGCGTAGGGTCGAAGCTCCGGGGTCTCCGAGTCGCAGAGTGGCCAGGCTTACGATGTCCCCTACTTGGAGGATCATGGGACTTAGTAAGGGTTTAGGGTTTAGGGTTTAGGGTTTAGGGTTTAGGGTTTAGGGTTTAGTAAGTAAGGTTATAACTACCTTAATTGGGGTTATAATTACTTGTAAGTATAGTTACCTTGTTTATAACCCTAGTTACTAAGTCTCATGATCCTCCAAGTAGCATCCTGTCATCGACCGGTTGAGCAAGGGTCTGGGGCTTGGGCTTTGGGCTTTAGGCTTTCAGGGCGTAGGCTTTCAGAGTTTAGGGTGTTGGGATTTAGGGTTTAGGGTTCAGGGTTTAGGGTTTAGGGTAAGACTAAGAGTCTGGGAAATGCCACCCAGCGGCACACAAGTCCTTCTTGGCACGTGACGCACGTGCCGAGCTCGAATCTGGTGGTGTCCTGGGAAAGCCGCTGGATACGGGCTTAGGGTGCAGTGTTTTAGGGTTTAGGGTTTAGGGTTTAGGGGGTTTAGGGGGTTTAGGGTGCAGTGTGGGGTTGAGGTACAGGGTCATACCATGTCGAACGGGGCTTCACATCACGATGTCGCGATCATTCCGAAGACCGGCAGGGGCTACTACCCTAACCCCGAAATCCCTAAAACCCTAAACCCTAAACCCTGCTTAGCTCTGGCCATATTGGGGCCTAGGGTTCGAGCCTGTCTTTCCTTGACGACAGCCCAGCCTCAGCCTTCGGTGCTTCAGGGCTTTAAAAGATTAGGGACTCCTCGGTTTTTGGGTTTTTGGGACATAGAACCCAGAGATTCCAATACCCCTTAATTAAGGAAAATACTTTAAGTTATAGTAGGATCGCTAATAAGAATTAAGGTATATTCCTTAATTAAGGGGTATTGGAGTCTCCGGGAGAAGGGGCACTGGCTACCCAGAGAACACAGGCTTCTGCACTTCTCGGTGCTCGCATTGAAGGCAGCCAAGGGCAACTTGCAAAAACTCTAAAGGACCAGCAGGCCCGGATGCTGCCAAGGAGCCAAGCAGCGGATGCCTGAACAAAACCCCAAAAGCCCATGTGCAAGCATTCCGCAAGCTCTAGGACACGTGCGATCCCGCAGCCCTACACCGAGCATCACGCCACGCGCACGTTGTAGGGTTTCTGTCAGGAACTGAACCAGGGACTTAACATACCGACCCCGAGCCGGAAGCCCTAAACCGTGTTTGATCCAGAAGTGAAGCTGTGGGGTTTTTGGAGCTTCAGACGTACCAGGTGGATCTAGGGCAGGGTGACAGACGCTTTGTGTTGCTAGCACATTTCTACTACTTGTTACGAAGATTGCAATGATCGAGGTCATTGTGACAACTGCGGTCTTATAGATGGAAAGTTTACTGCAATTCCAGGGCACATTGGCCCTGCCAGAGGTCGCCGTTGCAGGTGCAGGCCTGCGCGCTCAGAGGCTACAGCATGATGATTAGTATGATTCTGCGTCTCATAATGAGTCTTAAACTACCACTGACATCATAAGTATGACTGTCATCATGAATGCTATGGCTGCTTACACGACTATTTCTACTGTTGCCAGGGCATTGATATGATGATTATGGTCATCCTTGATCAATGCTTTGGTGCTCAGAGTCTTCCGAAGGAAGCAAGCGGTTTAGGGTCACAGACTACCTATCACCTCAGGGCGTAAAATTTCTACGGTTTCAGAATTTGGAAATTCAGTGTTTGAGCCTCAGACATGTAAGGAAGGGTCTTTTTTTGTTGACTTCCTTCCCAGAGCGGTTGGCTCAAGTGGGTCTCGGGAGCTTTATGGGTTGGGATTTCAGGCTTTTCGGTTTTAAGGGAGGGGGCCTTTGGGTCTTACGAAACCCTAAACCCTAAACCCTAAACCCTAAACCCTAAACCCTTAACCTTTCTCTGAGTGCCTTTGGGTCTTACGGCTTTCTTTGGGGGCCTTCGGTACTTACGGCTTAGGGCTTCGAGGGTTTAGGATTAAGGGCTCATGTGCTGGCTTTACGTTTTGTAGCGTTTTCTGGGCTTTTGCTGAAGAAGCTAGGAGGTTTGTTTTTGTGCCATACCCTTTGCACAAATATCCTTCTTGTGACCCCAGCTTACGAAAAGCACCTCTCCTGCAACTCGCCAACTCTGATTGAGGATTTCTTTCTGGAAGCTTTTTAGCTCCAGGGTCCCGGGTTTAGGTCCGGAAACGACCGCAAGGAACCTCCACGCAGAATATGGGCGCTTCCGGTGACCCTTCTGCCACTAAACACCCTGAAACCCTGTAAACTCCTCGCTTCCCCTGCTCAAAAGCAGCATTACACTGATCCAAGTTCTTCAACACCAGCTACACGCCCCAGGCCTGTGCATCCAAAGCTCCCTGCAGGAGGAGAGGCAGGGCGTGTAAGCCAAATTCTCAAGGCTTGGGTGGAGACTCTCCAAGCTACTCGGAGGGGCCTTGACAGTCAGAATTTTGAATACGTTGTTGGGCGGGGGGGGCGATATGTATAAGCAATATTCGATACTTTCAGAGGACAATGGTTTTACGACAAGTAAGGATTCAGGCCCCAATTTAATTCACCCTATTTCCTATTATTTGGAATGTAAGATTCCAGTTCAACAAAGTTGAACTTAGGTTCCATATGTCTTCGCCGGATCGGTCTTTGGAAGTGTTCAATCTGCAATCTGCAAGCGCCTGTGCAGCTAGACTTCCCTAAAGTCGCATCAGCAAAAAGCCATCGATCCTAAACAGTACAAAGTACTTGGTAGAGCTCCCTCTGCAACTTCTCTGTTGCCTGTCACGCCTGTTGGAGAAAGCTTTGCACTACCTTCCAGCAGACTCGGAATCTAGAGAAACGGCACTAGGTTCAACGACCCCGATCTGCTACCTTGAGAAGAATGTCTGCCGCAGAGGCTCTGGCGAACTTTGGGGCTCGATTTTAAGCCCTGGCTTGGGACAGGGCCGCCACGAAACACTGAGCCGGAAACTCCTACACCGTGCAGGCCCAAAGAAAGGATCGCCAAGCCTCTCCAAACCCTGACGGTTTAGGGTTTAGGGGTTTAGGGGTTAGGGTTTAGGGGCTTAGGGTTTAGGGTTTAGGGTTGCCTTGTAGTTGGTGGTGCGGCCGGCCGGGCAGTCACGGCACTGGGTCAGCCCAGAGTCGTCAGAGTACGTGCCTGGCTGCAAGGGCGTTGCAGAGCTTCCGTGAGGTTGCCTGTAGTCTCGATTGTAGTTCCTTTCTGGGGTTACCTTATAGGATCCTTATTTTAATGTTGGTTAAACCAAAAAAAAAGGAACTACAATGGAGACTATAGGTGTAATTCAAGCTTACTTGCATCCCTGCTACTCTAAAGCCCCAAATCGTAAACTCTGAGCTGGGCTAGAAGCTCTAGACGAAAAACCCAATCGAGGCGAAACGCCAGAGACCGTGAATCCTGAACCCTCAGCTTCGATATCTTGAGTCTTGAGAGGCGTTGAGGCCTCACTTTTTGAGAGGTACAAAGTCTACGACATCTCTCGACCCCCCGGTTGTATGAGGCTTTCGGCTTGACGGCTTTTAGGGCTCAGGGCCTGATGATGTGGGAGCCTTATAATATGGATCCTACTATTTAGGGTACTATATTAGGGTCCCCTATCTATTTAGGGTACTATATTAGGGTCCCCTATCTATTTAGGGTACTCTATTAGGGTCCCCTATCTATCTAGGGTACTATATTCGGGTCCCTCTATTTTCGGAAACCCCCCCATGTGTTTAGGGTTGCAGGAGAGCTCAGGTCCTCATCTGATACCCCTGACCAGCCTATGTCTATGCGAGAGTCGATACGCAAGCCATCTATCATCTGAGTCTAGGTCTGTTATTACCCAACGTAGCAGAGGTTTAAACCCTAAACCCTAAACCCTAAACCGTTAAAGTTATCCCACTTGGGTATCTAAACCTGACATCCTGAACCCTGCAGGCCAATGAGGTTTGCCCTGCCAGGAGCCCTATCGCGCCTTCGTTGCACTTGAGACAGGCAGACTGGCCAGACTCATTCATGAAGAAGCCTTCCGATGGCCGCTTTAAACTACGATCTTCAAGCATGTTCTCGCAGCTTGCTACAGATTTAACAGGGTTTTAAGCCCTTAACGGCCAAAGCCACTGAAGCCAACAGCCTTGAATCCTGCAAGCAGACCCTAGAGCAGCCTAACAAAAAAGCATCCGAGAATTCCCCTCGGAAAGACATGAAGCGAGCCCAGAGAAAGCTCGTGAAAAGTCTGCAAAACCACGAGGTTCAACACTTGGAGTCGGAGGGCTTACTTTCGCATTTCGGCATAGATACAGGGGCCTTGAGACTTAGAAGAAAGGTTTGGGGTTGAAGTGGAAAACCTTGCCATGCTTCTTCGCACGCTACCTGCGGATGTATCTGTTTCAACACGCACCAGAAAGACCTTCCCCTAAGGGTCCATATATACTACCATTATGGAATTAGGTCCCCGAAACCCTAATATGAATGGTCTTTTGAGACCCAATTCCATAATGGTAGTATATATGGACCCTCTGGGTTCATGCTACAGCAGCGCCATTGCGAAAGCTGTTGCCAATAACCTTAGCATCACCCGTTGACCCAAAGCCACAAAACCCTGAATCAAGGATCTATCATCTATGGTCTTGAACCCAGGGTAACCCCGACCGGTAGTAAACTACAAAACCCTGAACCCTGAACCCTAAACCCTAAGCCAAAACATTCCTAAACGCCAGCACCATTCCGGTGGCCCTAAGCCCTCAACGCCCTAAACCTCCAGGGGATGTAAGCAGAAGGAAACCTAACACTCCTAACTTCGGAATCAAAAGAATCAGGACCCTAGACCCCAAACCCTACAACCGTGACCCTAAACCCTTATGCAGCACTCTTCTAGACTCTTTATGTGAGGAACCATCAAGCCCTTTAACCTAACCCTAAACCCTAAACCCTAAACCCTTAGAGCCCTAACACCCCTGTTGCCTTCGTGGCAAACAGTACATTCTTCTGCTCCCTGAGCTTCGCCTAGGGTTTTTTCTCAGAGTTTAGGGTTTCGGGGTTTCGGGGTTTAGGGGTGTAGGGGTTTAGGGTTTAGAGGTGTATGTAGGGGTTTAGGGTTTAGGGGTGTAGGGGTTTAGGGCTTTAGGGTTTTGGGTTCAGGGCTTATAGGGCTTAGCTTTTAGTGTCTAGCGTTTGCGGTTCAGCATGTATGGTGATAGACTTTCGGGCTTTCCTGAACAAATCCCTGCACGGGATCAATAAGGGATCTGTAACTCTACATGTTTCCTCCTGTGATCCCGGGATCCGTAGAGTTTGAGTGTTGCGGGGGGTCGAAGGAGAAGGTTTTCTTCTGGCTTATGGTTTAGGGTTTTACCCTAAACCCTAAACCCTAAACCCTAAACCCTAAACCCTAAACCCTAAACCGTGATAGGGCTTAGCATTTCGGACGTGCGGTCTAGGGCTTAGGCGGTTGAGGGCTGTACTCGGGCTTAGGGCGTTCAGGCCGTGTCTTCAGACCCTGTTTCGAGCGATGAGAAGCTTGCAATGAACATCCGTAAGTTCGAAGCTGCCCCACCCTAAACCCTAAACCCTAAACCCTAGACCCTAAAAGGAGAACCGAAACCTAAAGCCGTCTCGGCACTCGATGCTCCCGAACATGCCTTGGACGTCATCTGCTGAACTCTTAAGTACAGCCCCCTCCCCTCCGCTTGCCGTCAGATCCTCACAAGAAGGTAGGTCCCCTAAGACGAGCAAGTGCACTGGAGGATCGTTCTGACCATGGATCCCTTCAACCAAAAACCAACAAAAACACCAAAAACACAAGGGTTACCCTAAACCCTAAACCCTAAAACCCCACACCCTAAACCCCGAGGGCTTCGGGGCTGGACATGAAAACGGCCATTTGAGACAGCAGCCTTCAGGTCTTCTGTGGCAAGCTCCAACGCTCAATTTCAAGGCCTCGCCCCCTAAAAAAAAGGTTTAGGGTTTAGGGTTTAGGGTTTAGGGTGGGACAGTGGTAAGGGGCTGAAGATTCAGAATTTCAATGATCCGGTAAGAGTAGACAATAGCCTGCATTATAGTCACTGTCACGGCTACTGGTACTGCTAAGGTTGTCATGGCCAGGGTTAGGCTTCGGGTTTCGGGTGATGTGTTACTTTGTGGAAGGCCACGGCAAGGCGTTTACAAGCTTGTCTTGATGTTAGGTTTCAGGTTCTCTGAACCGGTAGGCGTATAGGGTCTTGACCCTTGCGATGATGTTTCAAGGGCTGTGCATCGCACTGCTCGGATGCAGGGTTCTTGGCTTCGGGCTGGGGCTGGGGGGGGGGGGTAAGGGTCTATTGTCAGCCCTTAACCGAACAACCATAGCATCGGTGATAGTAACGGTGATAGCCACAGTAAGAGCTGTAGCGACAATGACAAAACACGGCATTCATGGACATGATAGCAGCCATCATTGCTATACCAATATCTGTAGCTAGCCCCGAACCCTAAAACCTCAACCTTCGGATCCTTTAATTTCTTGTGCTGACGGGCAGCCGACGCTACCTGCCGGACAGAGGAAGCACGCCGGCAAGCCGCTCTCGTTGCCTAAAGTGTTCCTTTAGGGTTTGGAGGGTTGAGGTTTGGAGTCGAGGGCTTCAGGGTTATGGGCTTTTGTGTCTTTGGGTCTTTGGAGTTCCGAGGTTAACGGATTCAGGGATGGCTAGTACGAGGCTATTGCCATTACCGTTACGTTGGTCATAGCCAGTAGCTTCAGTTGTGGTTCCGGGGTCCGGGGTTTCGGCTTCTCACTGGGTGTTGGGGGAGCCCTAAAGCCTAAACCCTGAAGCCTAAACCTCATACCTGCCGAGCTCGGAACTATCGACCGGAAGCCGGCGTAACCGCATTGTTTGTAGGATGAGATGTGCACCACCTAGGCACCTAGTTACGTTCATGTCCCGGCATCGACGAAGGCACACAGTATACAGCTGCTTCAACAAAGATGCCTGCATGCCTCGTCTTGTATGCAACTAGATTAACTAAGTATAACATACATGCTTGTACTCTAGGGCTCTACGAGACCCCCTTATCATTTATCTGTACATGTGTATGGCATCAATCAACTGTCGCAGCAAGGCATCGCAAGTTCTTCTTTTGGGCAGCCCCCGCGCGACGGTGGCCTGAATAAGCCACTTGAAAGCGCTTGGCCGAAGACCCGAGCTCGAGACGCAACAAGGGATCCGATCTAAGCCCTCAGCTCAAACCTCTCTCGAACCCAGAGACTCCAATACCCCTTAATTTAGGAATATATACTTTAAGTTATAGTAGGATCCCTAATAAGATTTAAAGTATATTCCTTAATTAAGGGGTATTAGAGTCTCTGGGAAATCTACATCCGAATCCCCCAAGACCTGAACTGTGCAACCCGAAACAAAGCTGGGCCACTGAAGGATCCCAGAGCGCAGGACTCACATTCTGTCATTCCAAGCGCCTGGGCATCTTTGCGCACTCTACTAAGGGTTGTTGTGCTGTTTATACCCTAACCCGCGAGGTACCTACTATATAGGGAACGAGAGCCCCTACCCTATATAGTAGGTACTTGGGGGGTTAGGCTTATAAGGGGTTCAAAGTTAGCAGCGTGGACAAGAATAGCCTGAATCAAAGGCCAATGTATGTGGGACTCCTATGGTGACGGGGCTTCTTGAGTGTTAGTGGCACCTGGGACTATCGATGCAGGAATGCTTCTTCTTTGAAGCACGGCAGGAACCGAAGCCGTGCTACCGATGCTACTTCTTTTACTATTTGTTCTTGCGACTACATACTGCAAACGTAAGCTTGGCAAAAACTTTGAGGTCAACACGACTGGCATGGCGACTTTGGGGCAACAGCCTGCAAGGCAGATGAACTGGATTCTATGTGAGCCTAGGGTATATAGGGCTTCTATAAGGCTTCCATAAGGTATATAGACCTTCTATAAGGCTCCTATAACGGTAACTACCCACCTGAAAATATCCTAGATCTACGGCTGACAAAACAACCTGCCCCCGCAAATCGTCTTGACCTTTGGGGTTTTGGTGCCCTTTATATGATATAATCATAATTAATAAGAAACCCCCCAAAATAGTATAGGCAATTATTTAGGCTCCTGCATTACGGCCGCCCAATGCTGGAATAGACCCGTAAATGCAGGTTCTCGGGGCTACGGTGCAGTTCACGATGCGAACTGCATCTTCAAATCCGAGACGTATCAACCTTGATACCTTAACCCGAAACCCTAAATCCTAAACCCTAAATCCCAAAACCTGTAAGCTGTAATCCCTAAACAGCGATCGACCAAGCTGACCCCAGTCCTTCGGAGCCAGGCTTTTGTACACTTAGCGGCTTTGCCCTAAACCCTAAACCCCTAAACCCTAAACCCTAAACCCTAAACCCTACCTTGCTCAGATCTCGTCTGGAAGCCTAGGCAACAGCAGCTCGGACTTCTTTTCGCGAAGCGGCTCCCAGCTGAAAGCTGGCTACTCGTTTGCTTCAGCACATGAAGCCGAGAACAATCAATCGCAGGAGAATCAAGCTTCGCAGCTTGTGTGTGTGCGTGTGTGTGTCTGTGTGTCTGTGTGTGTCTGTCTGTCTGTGTCTGTGTGTGTGTGTGTCTGTCTGCGTTAATGCGTTGAGGCGGTGCGGTGTGATCTAGACGCAACGCCGTGGCGTAGTATAGGCACCTTTACGATTAGAACAGGTTCGAGTGGTATGGTACAGATTATATGGGGACGTCAAGTTGGACATGGTCGCTAGCTCTTCAGACCCCCATAGAAAACCCAAATGATTTTGATGAAGACCTGAAGAAGGCAGGCTGTGAAGAGGTAAAAAGGCAGTAATTATGAGTATGTAGGAGCATCCTAGCGGCAACATGGTTCTACTCATCATACAAGTCAGCCCCCTAAGATCGCCGAAGGGTCCAAGGGTGTAATGTAGGCGCCTTAATATTTAGAATAGGGGTTCGCGGTCCATTCTACTATAAATATAACAAGGAACCCCCAAAATAGTATCGGTAATTGTTTAGACTTCTATATTAGGGCATAACACAAATCAGTCGCCCAGGGGAGCAGGAGGATTCGGCCATGAGCTCAAACCGTCGGTGCTTACCAAAGTCAGGAGTCCTCCTAATGTAGGAGCCCTAATAATAGGAATAGGATTATTCCTTATTATAAATGTAGTATGATATACTCCAAACCCTATTCTAATTAACAAGGTCGCTATATTAGACAGACCTGGAATAGTAAGAGCCTTCTCGTAAGATCACATTCCGAAAAAAAAACACACCGAAGGCCCTGGCACTTCCCTCAGGACCTCCGGGCTCTGGCTGCGTTCAACAGGATTCGCATCAGGAACTTCGCAAGAGCCGGGTTGTCATCGACCAGTTTCTCCAACACGGATCCCTGCTTGTCAAGGATCTCGCACGCGTTTGCTTTCACCATCTCCAGGCACCGGGCCTCCAAGACGCCCCCGCTGCCGAGGACTTTGCCCAGAAACTCAAGGAGGTTGTCTTTGTAAACTTTTGGCACGAGCTCCGTTTCCACCTCCTGGACCAAGTCATCTAGGCAGAACTGATCTGCAAGCTTCCGGACGGAAAATGCCAGCTCCTCGTTGCCAGCAGCACCAAAGCGCTGCGACATGAAATGGCACAGAACCTCGGCTGATGGTCAATTCTCCATCACCTGCTTGCATAAGCAATACTTAGTCTAATGTTTGGATTGACAAGCCGCTCTCTAGCCAAGGAACTGCCTGCATGCTGGTTACATCCGCCTGCTCGTTGTTCCGCAAGTCGATGACATTGGTGCGACTCTCGACCCATGTCTCTGATGACAGCATGTTCGCGAAATGCTTCGAACGCTCTACCACTAGCCTCTTGTCGAAATGGAGTTTCGATCCATCTGCCAACAGGAACGTGACGAACTCTGGCTCCTTGGAGAAAAGGTCTGGCGGCACTTCTCGGCAAGAGAAGTTGCCTGGCAGGAAGCCCGCCTCGCCCAGAATGCGAAGCTTGCCACCAGTTGCCCACTTCTTCTGTAGGATTGTGAGATGGGGAACCAATTTCGGCCAACCAAAGTCTACATGAGATTTCGACAAGGTATAAGGAAGCGAAGTCGATTGAAGCAAGCCTTGCAATGGAGTATCACCCTTGATGATGAATCTCACACGCTGCAGATCCGGAAAGATCCAATCCTTCCCTTCCAACATAGCAGGCGGGCGAACTCTGATAAAGGCGCTCACAGACCCCTCTCCCTGAGGCTTATGCCCATTTGGAAAAACCTCTACTCGAAAATGCCACCCTTGCGGCAACGCTTTCCAAGAGGATGCAACCATTGTTCCGTTTTCCCATCCCAGGCAGGGGCTTGCCACGAAGACCTCGGCTGAATGCCATACCAACCTCAGTGCCAGGTCTAAATCCAGGAACTCAAAGCTACCATGATTCTGGACGTTGGGCGGCCAAAACTACCATGCCAACAGCTAACATGCGCACTAGCTGGCTATCCTTAAGCTTCAGCTCCACAAGCCAGCCCCTCGACCCGAAGAGCTCAGCCAAGGATCGTCGCACCCTCAGTAAGGCGTGGGTCTGATTCTGCTGCCTCTGACTCTGCCATGGCACGAGAGGTCTCCCCCAGAAGTGATCAGTTTGCGGGGAGCTGCATAGCATTCAATGTTTCAGGTTTAGCTGTTTTTTTTTTGTAGCTCAGTGGAAAGGCCATCCACAATAGCAGATGCAGGCCTGCTACGGAGCCTCTGGAGATTCGGGCAGAGCAAGGAGGGAAAAGCTAAGAGCATCTTCAACATGGCGTTCCGTGCAGCATCCGTGCTAGCATACTTCGGAGTGGCAATGTAACTAGAGCAACTGGGGATACTAAAGCAAGAGCAAATTGGGCAAACGATGCTTTGCACCACTGGCATCTGCATAACAAACGAGACCGCTTCAAAGTGCCAGTGCTGTTTCCGCCGGGCTAGGGCCGGGCTGTGCCCCATCATTCACAGGATGCTAAACCCTTTAAACGCCCCAAAATCCTGATGAACCCGACAGCACAACCACCCAAATCCGAAAATTCTACTCCCGAGGCCCGAAATCCTGAACTCCAGGAGCCTGGAGCCTGCAGGCTTGAGGAGTTGGTCCAGTTCCAGGGAACTTTGGCTGGGAAGATGTACTGTGGGGTTTAGGGTTTAGGGTTTCATGGGGCCCTAATAATCAGAATAGGGTTTGGGATGTATTATACCACAATTATGATAAGGAACCCGCTCAAAACCCTATTCTAATTCAGAACGCCCCTGCATTAGGGTTTTGGGTTCCTTCAACCCTGGGCTTCAAGCCCGAACCCTCAAAGTCGAAACGCCAAGCCCTGCTTGCACGGCCCACTGCGGAAGAAAGCCTCACTACAGGACCCAGGGCCTCTACTGCGGTTTCGAGGTGCCCCTTAAAACACCAACCCCAAACCAAGAAACGTAAAACTTGAAAACCCCAAACCCTAAACTCCAAAACCCTAAACCCCAAACCCTGAACCAATGTTAAGTTCATGAAGAAACCGAAGCCTTCCTGATTCTGAATCGGGCCCGCTCCTGCTTAAATCCGTCGCGAAACCCCGCATGCAAAACTCGGATCTCCAGAGCCCCCCCCCAAAAAAAAATACGTAAATCTCGAAGCATCGGAGTCCCCAAACCCTAAACCCGAAACTCAAAAGAAGACTTAAACCTCGAAGCCCCTAGTCCTTGAGCCTCCAGGGATTCCTTTGTGTCGGCTGGGAGCCCAGGAGCCCCCCTACAGTCTGCACCAGCCTCGCCCTCCGTTTTTTGCAGCTCCCAGCTGTGGAAACTCGTTTGCTTCAGCACGTGAAGCCGAGGATGTGGAAAGCTCAGAGGACGTAGTGAGCAATCTGAAGAAGCTTACCCGCGTATAAAGCAAAACCCCTAAACCCCTAAACCCCTAAACCCCAAACCCTTAACCCCTAAACCCTAAACCCTTATAAAACACCCTAAAAGGCTTCCCAGCTGCGAGCTCAATCGGAGCGTCCGAAAGGTAGGGGTCCCTACTACGCAGTTCATTAAGGCCCTGAATTGCAAGAGAGCCTCTTCGAAAGGATCCCATAAGCAAAGCTCTGACACTCCTCACGACTTCGCAGCTCTAGCCGCATTTACCAGGACTCGCATCAGAAACTTCGTCAGGGCCGGATTGTGATCGATGATTTCGTCCAACACGGATCCCTGCTTGTCGAGGAGCTCGCACGCGTTTGCTTTCACCATCTCCAGGCACCGGGCCTCCAAGACGCCCCCGCTGCCGAGGACTTTGCCCAGAAACTCAAGGAGGTTGTCTTTGTAAACTTTTGGCACGAGCTCCGTTTCCACCTCCTGGACCAAGTCATCTAGGCAGAACTGATCTGCAAGCTTCCGCACAGAAAATGCGAGCTCGTCGTTGCAAGCAGCACCAAAGCTTTGAGACATGAAATGGCACAGAACCTCGGCTGATGGTCAACTCTCCACCACCTGCTTGCATAAGTAATACTTAGACTAATATTTGGATTGACAAGCCTGTTGGAAAGCACTCTAGCCAAGGAACTGCCTGCATGCTGGTTACATCCGCCTGCTCGTTGTTTCGCAGGTCTATGACGTTGGTGCGACCCTCGACCCATGTTTCTGACGACAGCATGTTCGCGAAATGCTTCGAACGCTCCACCACTATCCTCTTGTCGAAATGGAGTTTCGACCCATCTGCCAAGAGGAACGTGACGAACTCTGGCTCCTTTGAGAAAATCTCCGGTGGCAAATCTCGGGGCGAGAGGTTCACTGGCAGGAAGCAGGCCTCGCACACAATCCGAAGTTTGCCGGCGGTTGCCCACTTCTTTGCACGGAGCAAGGCATGACTGACAACTTTTCCCCATACTACGGATGGACGAGAGTTGGACATCACAAACGGTATCGTCCCGTTTCTCAATGTCTCATTATCCTTAGTGAGCCATCTCACCTTCCGCAGATCCGGACAGATCCAATCCTTCTCTTGCATCGCAGCAGGCGGGCGAACTCTAACCAAGGCGCTCACAAAGCCCTCTTCGTCCGGCCGTGCCCCGTTTGGGTATACCTCGACTTGCATGCTCCATCCATGCCGCAAGGCCCTCCACGAGGATTCCACTTTTGTGCCGTTTTCCCAACCCACACAGGGATCATCCACAAAGACCTCAGCAGAATGCCATACCAACCTCAGTGCCAGGAAACACAAACAACCAAAGCCGGCACTAGTGGGGAACCCCTGACCCGGAAATCCAAATTACCGTGCTTCCGGACTTTGAACCCTTCTTCATGCTGAGACCTGTGAGAACTACCATAGTAGCTGGCACGTGCACTATCTGGAGGTTTCCGAAAATAGGGGACCCTAATATAGTACCCTAAATAATAGGATCCTTATTATAAGGACCCCCAAAATAAGGTACCCTAATTCTTGGAAACTCCCATCTGATTATTAATTATGATAGACCTATCGTTCAGTTTCAGCTCCACAAGTCGTGCGCGCCGAAGCCCCTAAACACGAAGAGCTCTAAACCCGCCAAGGATCGTCGCACCGTCAGTAAGACGTGGGCCTCTTTCTGGTGACTCCGACTCTGCCATGGCACGAGGAGTCTCTGCAAGGAGGTTTGAGTTCCGGGGATTGTACGTATAGTATTGCTTACGTAGGTGTTCGCACGTACTATAGACGGTTCGGGTGTAGGGGTAGTGGTTTATTTTTCACGGTTTAGGGCGCAGAACCCTTGCGACGAGTTCTAGCACACCAAACCTGAGAAGAGGCAAAGCTCGCATTGCCTGACAAGTCTACGCTTGCAGGTTCAGGCTTTTGGGGTTGAAGGCGCGAAAAGGCTTTTAGCCAGCTGGGCAGAAAGACGGTCCGGAAATATCATCCATGCACGCCACAGATACAGGAGCTCGGGCTCGTCGAGTAATATGGAAGCCAACATAATTAGCAACACTATTCCTTAGGTTCCTGCGTATAACTATACTACAAAGGAGCTCAAAACCCTATTCTAATCATTTAAGGCCCCTACATTAGCCTCCTAGAGTCGGCCGAGCGGCGGCGAAGCGACCCGTCGGACAGTCCCCGCATCCGAGCTCGTTGGACCTCATGGGGAGGATCAGGGCTCGAGGGGTTTTGGAAATTTGGGGTTTAGGGGGATTTTGGGATTTGGGGTTTAGCGGGTGGGGTTTAGAGGGTTTTGGAAATTTGGGGTTTAAGGGGTTTGGGGAATTGGGGTTTGGGGGTTTGGGGAATAGCGCTTCAGGGTTTTGCCCATGGTGGGTGTAGGCTCTGCCGCTTCGGAATCCTCAGGAGCTAAACTACCTTATCCTACCAAAACCTAGGTTTTTGTAGGTTCTCATTCTAAACCCTCATATGGAGTTTATAGGGACCCTACAAAAAAGTAGGTTTTGGTAGGTAAAAAGTACGAGCATGGGGCGCAGCAGCGACTTGCGATGTGGGCACCCCGCATCTGGCCCCGACACCCGCTGCAAAAAACTGCTGAACCGAGAAACCCAGAGACTCCAATACCCCTTAATTAAGGAATATACCTTAAATCTTATTAGGGATCCCACTATAATTTAAAGTATGTTCCTTAATTAAGGGGTATTGGAGTCTCTGGGAATCAAGGCCCTCGACACCAGAGACATGCGGTGAGGTTTATAGGGTTAGAAGAAACACCGGGAGGCAGCATTTCCAGAAGATTTTGTCGGCACACTGCGCAGGAGAGTGGCATTCGGACTTCATTGCTTCTATTTCGCTCCACGACATGCCACACAACCCCAGAACCCTAAACCCTAAACCCTGAACCATAAACACTAAACCCTAAACCCTAAACCCCAAACCCCCAAAACATTCAACACTAAAGTCCCCCAAAAGCCCCTGCAAATCCTGAATTCGAAATGGTCCGTACCGAATTCTGCCAGAGATCCACGTGCTCCCGGCGGGGCACTGGCTACTGCGATCCTGAAAGAAGCAGTTGGTTTCAGAATGCTCCAAAAAGCCAACATAATGTGGGGCCTTAATAACTAGAATAGGGTTTTGGTGTCTATTATTCTATAATTTCCCTAAAACCCTATTCTAATTATTCAGACCCTTATAGTACTTCAGGAATGCAGGGCTCCGGGATTTACGATCTGAGAGATTTGCCCTCAGGGGCCCAAGATCTGAAGGAGTTCGATTTAGGGTCTGTCGAGTTTAGGATCTTAACCCCATGGTTTTATTTTGGGTTTAGGGTTTAGGGTTTATTTAGGGACTAGGGTTGAGGATTTATTTAGGGTTTAGGTTTTACTTTGGGTTTAGGTTTTAGGATTTATTTAGGGTTTAGGTTTAGGGTTTAGGGTTTCCAAAAGCTCATCTGATGCCCCTCGCACTAGGCTGCGAACTCAAAAAGATTCAGGCAACTACAGGATCCCCACATACCCTAGACACTAAGCCACACTCCAGAAAGACGGTTTAGGGTTTAGGGTTTAGGGTTTAGGGTTTAGGGTTTAGGGTTTAGGGTTTAGGGTTCCTAGTACAAGGACCCCCCAACATAAGAAGCCAAATCTGAAACTCTCACAGTTCGAGGTGCCGGATACCGGGAAAAGCAACCAAGATACGGTCTTGGGGTAACAAGTGTAAATGTTTGTTGCATGAGGAAATAGGGACTATAGAAGTATTCTTATTCCTACTTCGTCAAAACCCTGTGTAAGCGTTAGACGAACCAGCTCTCACAGGTAAACCCAAAGCCCTGGACTCCAACCTCACAATCCTTTCTTCTATACCCGTGTGCCCCAAACCTGAAAATCCTCAGCCTCAGTCACGATCCTTTCACCCCGCATTTCTTTCTGAAGCCCGAAACCTTAAACATCAAGCATCCACCAAAATCTCATTGCCGAAAAAACCCAACCCTCAGAAAGCCCCAAAAGCCTACACACTGAAGCCTAAACCCACCCTAACATTGGGGCCTGAATACTTAGAATGCAGCAAGCAGATTATGATGTAGTTGTATACGGCCTATAGCAGCTATTGATTTTCTCAAACCAAAGGAACACACGTGTGACCTGAGACCTACTCTGCCCTGACCCCGACCCCATATATTAGGGTAGTTTTCTAAATTAGGGTCCCTGTGGGGTCCTTTTTATAAGGGTGCCGTACTATATTTGGGACCTAAAACGGGACCCTAGTTTAGAGACTTAAACCCTGAACCCTAAACCCTAAAGTAGAGAACTACCTTAAAACCCTAAACCCTAAACCCCGACCCCATACATTCAGTGAAGCCCTAGCTGCTCGAGGGATGAACGCTGTCGACATGTCGCAGGTGCCGCTGCTGCAAGCAACGATCTGACCTTTGGGCGTTTGGGGGTTTAGAGTTTATAGGGCCCTAGTATAGTTAATATAGAAGGCTACATAATTACCCAAAATATTCCTTAGGGTTCCTTATTCTAATTATACTAGAAAGGACTCCGCAACCCAATTCTTATTCTTAAGGCCCCTATGTTAAGATGTTTAGGATCTTTGGGGTTTAGGGCGCCGGGGGTGATATAGTTGGGTGCTTTGGGGTGTCTAGGGAGCTTGGGGTTGACAGTTTTAGGGTTCCGACGGGCTTAAGGAGCAGGGTGTTCAGGGTTTAGGGTTTGGGGTTTTGGCTTAGGGTTTAGGGTTTAAGGTTTTGGGTTTAGGGTTTGGGGTTTTGGGTTTAGGTTTCTGGGTTTAGGGTTTAGGGTTTTGGGGTTTGGGGGTTTAGGGTTTGGGGCCTTTAAGGTGTTGGCTTCTGTTTCAAGCTTTCAGGTTCAGAGTTGAACTCTGGAGGTCTGAACTCCGAGGGCTTAGATGGATTTTGGGGTTTACGGCATCCATAGGGGCTACATACGTAATGTAGGGCCTGACTAATTAGAATAGGGTTTTGGGGTCTTTTATAGTATAATGAGAATAAGGACCCCTAAGGAATATTTTTGGTAATTATTTTGGCCTCTATGTTGCATGCATACGTAGGTGCACACGTACATACACGCGTAAGCACATGCGCACATACTCACGTACATGCATGCAGCCGCATACGTATCCCCAAACGCAACATGCTGCGTGGACTGTCTAAGCGCACGAAACTCAAACCTGGCTATCTGAAACAGGTTTTCAGGGCAGGGTTTAGGGTTTAGGGTTCAGGGTTTCAAAATAGATCTTCAGGACAACATCGAGGAACTCAGCGTTTCAGGCATCTTCCAGCATTCATGGAATCGACATCACGCCTGGGCCAGGGTCCAATGCCCCTGACCATACTCTCTGGATATGATGTCAACCCTTCACAAAACATGAACGCTCCGAAACTCGATCCAGTCCATGCAAGTGAGGCCTTGTCCCAATCTGTTGCATTGGAGCAACGGCAGCCAGCTGCGTAAGTTTTTTGCCCTCGGCCTGTGCCCACTGTGAGCACCAATTTGGACTGACCAGTAGGAGATCTCGCCAGCACCAGTGGTGGCACCCACCCTCGAGTTCCCTAAAACCCTAAACCCTAAACCTTAAAACCGAAAGAAGCGCACCCGAAGATTCAGGGTTCAGCACCAAAGCTCCTGAGATCAGAACTCAACTCCCTACAGCCTAGGCTCTAAAAACCTTAGGAGCCAAACCTAGCTTCTACGCTTAGCACCACTAACATTAATGCAGGGGCCTTCTTATATTGAACAGGATTTTGGAGTCTACTATACTATATTTATAATAAGGAACCCTCCAAGATAGTATAGGTAATCATTTAGGCCCCTATATTACATCTACCATGCCCTAAGTACCTCCCCAGCGTTGCTTCGGCTACAGTTTCGTAGGGTCCAAAATTCCATGGTGGGGTGAATCCACGAATGACTGCAAAACTGTGGTGCATGTAGGGCTTAGGATTGGGAGGTTTGAACTGGAGGTTTGAGGTTTAGGGTTTACCTTAACCTAACAAAACCTATTTTTTGTAGGTTCTTATTATAAACCTAATATGGAATTTATAGGGACCCTACAAAAAAGTAGGCTTTGGTAGGTTAAGGTAGGGTTTAGGGATATAGGTTCAGGTTGCAGGGTAGGGCTTAGAAGCGGTAAGGGTTTCGAGGAGCATGCTACGGGAAGGCTAAGCTTTCGGGCTCAGGGGACGTCCAGGACAAGGCCCTGGAATGTGCTTTTGTTGACTTCAGTTTTGGAATTTAGGGTTCTTGGGATGTTGAGGGCTTCGGGCTCTGAGCTTAAAACTTACAGCTACTTGAATTTCCCTGGGGTCTTAAAGACAGATCCGGGCAGCGCCCTACTAGCTATGAGTTTAAGGGTTCGGATTATATGGAAGTTTCCGAAAACAAGAGGTACCTTATTTTGGGGTCCTCATTATAAGGATCCGACTATTTAGGGTACTACATTAGCCCTAAACTCTAAACCCTCAACCCCTAAACCCTAAACCCCCCATTTTCGGAAACCCCCTATATCCTAAGATACTAGGTCAGAATCCTCTAGAGCCTCATGCCCTGAACCCCAAAAGACGCTCCGCTGTAAACCTCTAAAGCAGGTGTGTTTAAACTTAGGGTTTAGGGCTTATGGGTTTTGGGGTTTAGGGGTTTTGGGTTTAGGGGTTTAGGGTTTAGGGGTTTAGGGTTTAGGGTTTGGCGTTCACACCCAATCCAATCCGAACTTGGATCCCCAAGTGGAGAAGATCCTAAGTCTAAGCTGCCTGC